CAGAGCTGCAGAGATTTACACATTATATATTCTCAGAAACAAAGGTTCCTATCAATATGTCTCCTTGACTCCACTGACTTACCTGTGTCTTTTCATGTTTTGTCTGCAGCTAAACATTTAAGAGAGTTTGAAAAATAAAGTTGTGAATCACACGCTGGCCTTACACCAAGTCGAGAGATTACGCTCGGTACCCCTTTAAAACAGAGAAAAGTTCAGATTGTCTGTCAGCAGCAGCACAGCGGGCAGCACGAGGGCCTTGTTTTGGCACCGTGAAGCGTGTGAGTCATCTGGAGGGGAAGAGAGAAAAAAAGAAGCCAGGCAGTCATACGGAGAGAGGAGGAAGCGCGATCGAGGTCAGGATGACTTCTCTGTCTGGCCGGCCTCCACTCTGGGGAGGGAGCTCTCAGTCCAAGCTGCAACAGTGTGTGTGTGTGTGTGTGTGTGTGTGTGTGTGTTTTTCTCCCACAGCTGTCAGGATGTACGGTACAACAATTAGAGGCAGACAAAAAGGTGAACTCTGATGGAGGCAGGAGGGAGGCTGATGGTTGGAGACTGGCAAGGTGGGATATTGGATGAGATGGGCAGAGGCGATGGAAGAGGGATTTCGCACTGACGCTGGAGGGTGAGGGAGAGACGGGTTCAAAGAGTGACTGACAGCATGATAGATTAAAGGGCTGAATAAGTGAGCAAGGCTCGGAGACACTGTGCGAGTGCTAATGATTGACTGCATGCTAACAGGTGGTAGCAGACTTGGACTCAAAGCTACATGTGTCTGCTTCTGTGTGCGTCTGAGTGCGAGTGTGTTTTTGTTGTCGTTGACCAGTTGCTCCCGGGTCGTACAGTACACACAATATCTTCTCTGTTGTCTAACTCCAGACAGCCAACTGCAAGACTCTCTTGACTGTGCGCGCACACACACACACACACACACACACACACACACACGCACACACGCACACACACACACAGTAGCTCAGCCAGGCATCGCCTGCAGCCACACTCTCCTTCCCACCACTGCCTCCCTCATTCATCTTTCATTAGCCCAGCTCACACAGGAGAACCCCCCCCCCCACTCGTCTCTCTCCCACCACCTCACGTCGCTCCATCTCTCTCCCTTCTCTCACTCTGTCTAACCTCCTCGCCTCTTCCCCCCCTCTCGTCTTATCTTGGTTTCTCTCGCACGTAATCTCTTTTGTTTGTCTCGCTCGTGTCTTGCAATCTGTCTTTTTGGATATCTCTCCTCCCCCTGTCTCTCTCCCTCGCTCGCTGCCTCCTTTTGCTTTTCAGTCTTTTCTCATTCAGCCTCACTCCCTCAGCCCACTCCCCTCCTCTCTCTCTCTCATCCTCCTCCCCGTCCTCCTCCATCACTCTCGGCCCTCGTTCCCCGTCTCAGCCTCGCTCTTGCACATTCTCACCTCTTTATCGTGTACTCCTTTCCTCTTCCACTCTCCTTCCTGTGCTGTGCCGTTTCTCTGACACTCGTCTCTGCACCCCCCCCCCCTTCCTGTCTCTCTTTCTCTCTCTCTTGCCCGCTCTCTCTTTCTTCCTTTCATTTCGCTCTCCGTCTCTCCCTCGGTGGAGGGGAAAGGCTCTTCGCCTCTAATTGCGGCTGTTCCGTTGCCATGGCGCGTGTTGCTCAGCGCTGTGAGGCGCTGTGCGTGTTTGTGCGTGCGTATGTGTGTGTGTGTGTTTGTGTGTGTGCGTATGTGTGGCAGGCAGATGATTGCTTGCTGCCAGCTCTCGTTTCCCGGACGCCGATCGCGTTTCTTTGCAGCAGCAGGAAAAAAAAATGAGACGCCAGAAATAGCCCCCCTTCACACAGACCCGCTCACTCTCACCGCTGTGCTGTCAGAAGAACACACACACACACACAGGCAGGCTGACACACACACACAAACACAGCATTTCCACTCCACCTGACATCCTCAATGCATATGACCTAGGTTATACTGTATGTACACACCTCTGTGCATATGTGCAGGTGAGCCGTGTGTTTATATACATCTGCGTGTGTCCGACTTCCTCTATGTGCATTTATGTGTGTGTGTTTCCTGCGTCTCTAAGGAGGTTGTGTGGGGAGTCCTGATTTATTTCACCTTTAATGGGAAGTGAAATGAATGTGAGCAGCAGCTGGTCTGGTCCTTGGAGATACAGCAGTCAGCTAACCCAGAAAACAGGCAGCGCTGCTCCGAAATGGCCCTCACTCCGATGGGCGCCAGGACGCTCCACGAGCTGCTCTGTTGGTTTTATTTTAAGCAGAGTTGAGGTGTTTAGTTGACACCACTTGCTCAGAATAACCTCCAGGTTCTTTTTATCTCAACCCTCGGCCAACCCAACTGGTGGTTTCCTTCCTGTTGCAACTCTTCAAGGAGTTGTTGGAAGGTAAATGGAGACAGATTACTGGGGAATAAACCTTGCAACCTCACGTTGCAAAAGAGGATAAAAGGGGATTATAACCAGATTTGTGGACGAATCTCCATAATCATCTTCTGCGGTTCTCACTGGGTTTTTTAAGGTGGAAGAGAAAAAGTGTGTGCTTGCTGCTTTGTTTAATAAAGCTAAAATGCCTCTAACCTGTCATTTAAATTTTGACATTCACAGGGGAACCAGGCAATAAACCTGAAACTTTACAAAAATCAAACAAAGTAGTCCACAGCCATGTCGGTATATTTCATTCGTTAATTAGATCCGCCAAGAAGGTTGCGTTTTTCATCCCTGTTTGTTTGATGGCTGGTTTGTCTGCATTCACACCTCACACCTTTAATGATGTATTCCACTGTATGCACCCAGCGGACTCATTCTTATGGAGAAAATGGATGAATGGCGAATTGAAGTTGGATGTGTGGATTCAGATGAAGAGTAGCTAATGGTGAATTGGTAATGTGAGCACACTTTGGCTTCAGTAAGCAGATTAAAATAAATAAATTTAAAGCTGCTGGAAAATAGCGCTTACTTCAAGAAGAAAAACTAACAATTTGTTCCATCACCTTAAACACTGACTTTCTTACAATATGATGCGTGCGTAGCAAAGAAAGTTGTAACAACGCAAAACCCACAATAGACAATGGCAAGCTGAAGGGGCAGTAGTCACTCCATAAACCAAAGTGTTGTAGAATGAATTGAAGCCATAAAATATTTTTACTGTTCATGATTTTCTCATTATTGTTCGGTACAAAAAGAAGAAGAAGAAAAAAAAAATCCCCTGCAAAGAAAATCTTGAGCACAGATGTGTTCAAAAGATTCATCGCTCTCAAAGAAACTGTGACAGTTAATCGTGATGTGACTTTTAATAGTGCTCAGACCTAAATAATATTGAATAGATCATTTAACAAAAACCAAAAGGACCAGTATGGCTACAATCATTTCTTGCCTTAATCTCAATGGTTGTTAGTTAGTTTCTTGTCAGTAAAGACAAATTATGCTTGTATACCACTTACTTTAATCACAGTGTCTGACCCAGACAATCTTCTGCTGCTCTCTTCATTTGTGAAACACAAACTCCAGAAAATCTTCACACCCAATTGTGTAGACCTTTTCTGCAGTTCATGAATTAAAAACATATTTTGTACTTTATCTTTATGCCTTGATGCCAACTTGTGTTGGCCGTGTGACAGGATTAAACACAGCATTGAACAAAGTATGTATTTGATTTATATTGTCAGTACAGTGTAGATACTGTATCTGTGTGGGAATTGTTGTGTGTTTGCCTCTTGTGTAGTCACTTGGCTGGTGTCACCGAGGCTTGTTCCTTCAGGGACGTTTGTGTTGCTCATCTGGTGATGTCACAATATTGGCAATGCTATTGTGATGTGATTAATGTGGAAACCAGAGCGGTGGTATTACCAAAGATTTCTCCAGATCATTATCTGTTTAAATAACTGGAAGTTGGTCTCATCCTGTGACAGTCACTCCGAGATGAGCCACTGTTCATGTAACCACAACACAACAGTGGCTCTTTTCTTTAAATGGTTGGTTTTGTATTTTCCTTCCCTGCGGGTCACAAGCAAGTTGGGGATGACTTTCTCGACCCTGAGGTCAACCACCGCGGCCGTTTAGTTTACTCTGAATGCCCAAGCCAGGAACAGCGCACTTGCGGAAAACGCTGGGAGCCGTGCGCGGTTTGATTGTCTCGCTAACAGATCAATAAAAGACATTAGTGGCAGGCTAACCCGGCGAGCAGCACTAATACAGGGTTAATCCAGGGTTAATGGCTGAGCAGCATCATTCTCCGAGGCAGCCATTAGTTCGCAGCCACACCACACAATATCAGGTTCACCTCCTAGTCATGCCCCAGGCTCCCAGCGAGATAGGCACATGGACGGGAATTGAAAAGAAAGGAGGATCACCCTCATGAGTCAAGATGAAAATGAGATATCCAGACAGACGAAAACCAATGCAAAGAAACGGGAGAGTTATTGTGGAATGGGTGGCGGCGTGTAAGAAGCGTGCACGGAATGAAAAAGAAGGAGAGGATGGGTCGGGGAAACTGTGGTAAGGAGAAGCAGGAAACCGAGATGAGAGAAAGGGGAGAGAAGGAGAGGAAGGGAGTTGAGCGCTACACTTCTCCCTGTCCTTGTAAAGTGCTGCGTGCTGTCGAAGCGGCAGCCAAGAATGTGTCAGCCCAGCCGTCTCACGCTGCCTAATGGGCTCTTAAACGCTGATATAAAGCTCACTCGCTCTTTCACCCTCCCCTTTTTCCTCTCTCTCTCCCTCCTTCTCTTTTTCTGCCTCTGCTGTTCGCTCTCATTACCTCTCGTTCTCACCCTGTCCCTCACTCTGTCACTCACTTGTCCTCTCCTTCTTTTTCTCTTGCTCTGTCTATCACACCCTCTCTCCCCTTTTTCCTGTTGCTGTCTCTCCTCTCCGTCTGACTTCTCCTTCAATTACTCCGTCCTCACCTCCGAAGCTCTCTCGCAGGTTGTCTCTTTATTTACAACTTTTTTTTATAGATGAACTCACCACTCCTGCCTCTCCCTTTGTCTCTCTCTCTCTCCCTCCAGGCTCCACAATGCCTTCTACCCACAGGATCCGTCCTTCTCCCTCACCTTGTTGCACGTCCTGTCGGCGCCACTTCACGGCTTGGCCAATGCCTTTGTCTTTGGCCTGGATCGGGATTGGTGGAGTCTATTGAGCCCCACAGGCCTGCAGGTACAGCGAACTCAGGCTATGTCTTGCCATAATTGCATCAACGTTTTGAAGAAACATTTCCTGTTGCACGTTCTTTTCCAAACAAGTCAAAAACATTAAGTACACAGACACTGACTGGAATGTGTGTTAGAAGAAAAAATATTAATATTTTAATGTGATTGTACTGGGAAGGGGAAAGTCAGGCATTCACCAAAGTTGTTACACTTCAGGTTTGACGTCTGTAGCAAACACAGCAGATGTAGATTTAGCGGACATGATTGTCATTAAATGTCTTGGAAATCCATCCTGTAGTTATTGAGATATTACATTCTTGACTAAGTGGTGGATGCTGCCATCACTAGAGCGACGTAGCATCACTCTGACAAACTGATGCGGCCAGATTTATTACAGATCCATCCTCTCCCGCTTTATTGACTCCTCTCAGGTCACAGGTGTTGAACCCTGTCCCAACATTCTTTTTGTATGTGCGTCTCAACCATTATCACGTAAATGAAATTTCAACTTTATGTCTCAGACCAGACCCTTGGACCATAATGAATAGAAATGGTAGAGCCAGAAAGCTGACTAATAAAAACAGATGGACAACACAGTCAACACAGTGAACAGTTAGAAAAGGATTTGAAAACCACCCATCTCAGCATCTGGTTAAGAAATTGTTGAGTCATTGATGTGAAGTAACAACCATGTGAGCTAATGTTTGGAAGATGAGTGAAATCACCTGACAGTCTACCATATCGTAGGTCGTACGCCCACACGATGTGTTCACTTGCTTAGTTTTAGCTCCGAAAATCCCAGCACAGGTCGGGAAATTTCCACAAATCAGAGCCAGGAAGTCGTTTTTGAATCACTTCAGATTACAAGTCCTTGACCATTAGTGAAAAAATAGGCTGGATAGAGCTAGCATTTTTTATAGCGATCTCCTTTGATTTAACATTTAAAACCTTTCATGCTTTTTGAGCAGTTTTTGATCACTAGAGGGCAGAAAGACTCCAAAACAAACATGCAATGACAAGCATCTACTTGCTGTTATGTCACCCGTCATGTGGTTGTGACATGTTAGCAAACAACTGTCGACCAAGTGAAACAGAGGAATATGTAGATGCCACGTTAGCGTGTGCTTCTGCTTACCATTTCGACGGGAGTCCGATATTCTCTCTCTGATTAGATAGCCTCATGTTTTCTCCACTTGTCTCCTGTTTCATGTCGAGCATGCTGTGTGCAGTTAGCTTGTGTTAGCGTCTGTGCTTGGACCACTTCCAGTTTTAGGTTTGTGTGGGTCATTATTTTCTTGAGCTTTCTTCCCAGTACGGAAAATAATTACTTTGGAAACAATGAGCTGAAACTGGCCGGGAGCTGGGATTTGTGGTTTTGTTTATACCAGCTGAATTTCCATTTAGATTCTGTGTAAATTTTGCAGAAATTTCAGAAAATCTGAAAAAGCGAATGAAAAACAAGATATGCAAGTGATGGTGCTAATTGTTCAGTTTTCCCAGCGAAAAAAAACAATGATGTAAGCTTATCTTTATCAAAGACATTTTTATTCAGCGAACGCAACTTTAATTTAACTTTTCAATTCAGTTTTATTTGTATAGCGCCAAATCATAATATACATTATCTCAAGGCACTTTACATAGACGGTCAAGACCTTAAAATTGTATTCACATAGAGAAACCCAACAGTTCAGTGGAGGAAAAACTCCCTCATTAACAGGGAGACACCTCTAGAACCAGGCTCAATGTGGGTGGTCATCTGCCTCCACCGGTTGGGGTGAGCAAAGAAAAAGGGGAGGATAGTGGGGAGGTGGAGGAGGGGGAGAGAGAGACTTTTAAGTAACATGTTTAACGCACATAATCATTATCTCCCTCGGCCAGTGTCTTGTGCTTTGGGTTGCACTGTTCTTTTTAGAAATGTTTTTTCTGATATTTCCTCTCAAGGGTTTTATGCGTAAATTGAAAAGGTGCCCGAAAGCAGAAGGATGGAATTACACTTTGTTCTTTTAAAAACATGTGAGCAGTGCAGCAGCAGGAGTCTTCACAAAATAACAGAGTGCTGCTGTGTGCTCGAACACTTTTCAGTGCCCAGTCGATATAGTTACACACATAAAAGGGTGGAAAAGAGATTTGGAGCCCGAAATTACAAATTGTAGTTGAGCGCATAAAACGTACATCAAGTGCAGCGTATACATCTTCACCCATTAAAATTAAAGCCAATCTGTTCAGTGAGATGCACATTAGATAGACAACTGTGCGACATAGCTGAAATGTGTCTGGTGTAAACAGGGTAACTGCAGCACTCACATTAGGAAGAACCATTTCGGCTGAAACAAGCAGTCGATCCATAGAAGAATTCATTGGCAACAAGCTTAATAATTGATTTAACACTGAAGTAATTTTTCACGAGGGAAAAGTGATAAATCCACTGACAATGTTGAAAAGTGAATATCTCTCAGTTTTGGACAAGTGGTCAATCAGTTTAGTGGCCGATGGAAACTACGAACAGCATTTTTCATTTCCTGACAGTTCATAGATTTAGTGACAAATCAGAAGCTTAATCAATAATAAAACAAATTGTTATTTGCAGCCTCTGAAATATTTCTATTGTATTTGTATTTCATAACCACCTTGTTGGAATGTAGAATTCAAGCAACACTAACACTTTTTATAAGTATCAGGGCATTTTCTCACCTTCTTTGTTTGGTCTGGACCTTCAGACTTTTCAGTTTAGTCCAAACCAAAATAACAGGCTTGAGATGCTCAGGAATTTTGGTGCAGACCAAAAATTTTGTCAGACTAAAAGGACATTTACTGGACGCCAATTCCTGCCATTCTACAAACCAATGAATGTCAGTAGACACAGCCCAGGTGATGACGACAGGACGTACATATGTCACACAGAGTTCTTTAATGCGTCCCCTAATTTGTATTGTGAAACTAAAACTAACCAATGCAAGAAACGAAAATGAAATTGATTTGGACTTTCAGGTGTGAAAACACCTTTAGTTAACTCATGAGCTATTTCCTCAGAAACTCAGTCTTTTTTTAACCCCTGTGTTTTGAGCCTTCTGCTTAAGTGCTTCAGAATTTATAATAACGCTACTTAACTCTCCAAATTAACTCGTACTGTCTATCACAGGTGTTCACACATCACCCTATGCAGGAAAATAATTGTTGGCTCTTGTACCTAAATCCCCTTATTTCAAGAGTCAAATTAAAAACCCACTGACTTTATTTTTTTGAGCTTTTAGGGAAACAGAGACACGATTACCAGAAGGAGGATGCTTTTACATTTGAACCACAAACCACATTGGTTGTATTTCAATAAACACCACAATCAATACAGCTCCCAGCAGATTTGTCTCAATCTACAAACATTGACAGTGTCTGTGGATATGAGCCGGACCTGATATTGAACCACGAGCAAAACATTCTCTGTGGTCTTGGTTCACGCGCAGGCAAACACACACTTTGTCACTTACTCACTATCACCAACCGCCCTGATAACGGGTCAGGAGCACAATGTGGAAGAGTGGAATGTGCGGTATGACCTTCAACCCAAATGTCAATGTTGCACTGTGGTGAGTCGGGAGAGAGAGAGAGACGGAGGAGTCAAATGGAATCTCAATGTGTTCGTAAATCACATAGAAAATGCTGTGTGTCTGTCTGTGCGTGTGTGTGTGTCTGTCTGTGTGTGCGTGTCAGAGAGAACGAGACAGAAGGTGAGAAAGAAGACGACAGAGAGAGAGAGAGAGAGAGAGAGGCAGGCAGACAGACAGACAGACAGACAGAGAGAGAGAGACACACACACATATTCACACACACAGAGGCGGCATGTGTGGTCGTGCTCTATCGTGACTAACAGCTGGTTGTTATTCATCTTGGCATGCGACTCCCAGCAGCCCCCACACATCAGGTGTGAGATTGGCTGGGGAGAGGGGGGTGAGGGAGAAAAGGGGGAGGCGATGGTGGGGGGTTTGTAACAGCATCAAAACATTCATCTCTCAACACAACGATTCCGTGCTTTCTCACCAAACCTGCCTCCTCCGGCTCCCTCGCAGCCGCGCTCTTTACCTGCGGTGCTTTTAGAGACGTTTAAAGGATCAGTCCTGAGATTTCTTTCTCTGTGTCTTATAATACACTTCTCATATAGACTATACACACACTGAAAGGTCGTCTTCGTACCGGACCTGAAGTTATCCACCCCTAACGTGACTTCCAGCTCAAACTCAACAGTCATTGTTCTAGACTCGAGAGATTTTCAGACATTAACAGAGAACGCATCTTGAGGCTGCAGGAAAATGTCCGGAACATTCAGGTGAAGAGTAGCATCTGGGTAGAGCAGGAGGCAGGACAGGACATATATATATTAACCTGCATAAAGCACACGGCAAAGTTTTGTATGACTGCGTCTTCCACGTGTGTGACACCTCCTTTTCATCCTGAGATATTTGTTTTACTCCAGTTTTTTGTCTTAGAATTTCTGGACATTTTCCCTGTTGTATTCTCACGTGGACTCACATTTTCCGGACATTTTACTTGGAGGCTGGCAAGGAAAAAATGACATTTCTAGAGTTCAGTGCATGTCTGAAAGCAGGTCTGGCACTGTGCCCGTTAATGGCTGTTTCCCCACAACTAACCAATCAGATCTTTGTAGACACGATTAAATATTTAAACATCACCGTCCTTCCGACAGTTGCTTCCCATGAAAAATGACAACAGAAAAATGTGGATGCAGCTGTACAGGCTGTGATTAGTCGACTTACAGAAATAACGTAAATCTCCAAATTTTTATTTGTTTGCCGCTCCCAGCAGCTTTCAATGCAGCTTCCATGTCATTTGAAATGGCAGTGGTGGGATGGATAGGTCACTTGCTACCGATTGGTTCAGACAAAACAAAAAACCCCAACAAGAAACAGGCTTGTTGTCAGGCTCACTGAAATAAGTGAAACAAAATGGCAATTGAGTCTGATAATCAGGCTTCTGCGCCTGCATGGCTTCGTAGATAAGGATAGATTTCACTGACACTGGCTCTGCAGCAGAGAAGACATTGGCTGCTGGGGTTAGCTGTTTGTAAGAGCCGGCTCACTGACGGACATATACATTCTACGTTTCTAAAGAAGAAACTTTGAAGACTGTGCTGCTGGCCATTTTACTATTCTCAAACAGACAGAAGACTGAACAGTGTTTCCAAATCATTGCAGTCAACTTAAAAAAATTTAAAACAGGCGTAATACTCCGATACACACACCTGTGTGTGGGAGTGTAAAGCATCTGTGCATCTTCTCTCCAGTCAAACAGTGACCAGCTGCCTCAACTGCCAGTCGCGTTTCCCATTCATTCCAGCAGACAACATACACGAGTGAGTGGTCTGTCACGATGGTCTGTCACGATGGTCTGTCACACAGCGCTCCGGAGTAAGAGCCTAAAAATAGTTCCCCTCTTTTTTATTTATTGACTTGAGGATTGAATCGTGCCTCTAAGACTTTTGAAAAATCAGCAGAATCTAAAACAAGATAAGACTAAGTAGACTGTTCCGATTTTAAACCTGTTGCGTGTATACAAGGATTTTACTGCATCCGGATTACTACCTGCATGACCCTATTACTGCCAGGATCCTGGTTTCTGTGTGCATGTAAACATAGCGCTGCCTCTCCGCCATGTACCTCTAGTCCTCCGCTGTTGTTATTTCTCTCTGTTCCGTGGCTGTCTTTGAGTCGTCTTGTCCTCCCTCTCTCTGCCTATCTCTATCTCTCTGTACTGTATGCACGCCTCTTCTCCCTGCCTCCTCTGTTCCCTATACCCTGCTACAGCATTTCTGGCATTTATCTCATTATTTCTTCCGCTCTCCTTTGTGTAGCATTTCCCTCCCACCTGTGTGCTCCCCCCACCACCCCCCCTGTTTCTCTCCATCCTTCCCTGATATTGATCTGCATTCTAGCCATACAGCTGAACTGCCTGTGGCTCTGCAATGAGCTCACCTCTTCACTTCTCCTGCGTGTATGCGAGAGTGCATGCAGGAAAAAAGCTGTTCCCGTTCTCGTATGTCTCAGCATCACTTCATTCTCAAGGCCTTTTTGAACAGGGAACCCACTGTATTGCTGCAAAGACGTCCCGGCTTTGCTGGTTTACATGGAACATAATGCTGCTCCAGTGTGTGATTTTGAAGTCGCATGCTGCCACAATGACGGCATAATATGCTGGCATGGTATTCAGGCTCTAACGTTTACACAGACGTGGATCTGGCTCTGTGGATCTGGCTCTGTGGCTATACCTCCGCTGCTGGCTTTCAGGAGACATAACGTGCTTCTTCAGTTTATCTCTCCTCTGTGTTATATTGTATTAAAAAGTTAAAAACACTCCCCATGAACTGTCATTTATCAACAGTCAAATTAAGTTGTTGTTTACATTTTTTCTGTCACTGATTAATTTTATACCCTACATGTTGCCTGTTAACCAGACAGACGCTCCTACACTACTGCAATGCGACGTCAATCAAATCACGCTTTTTACAATCACAGGCTTGTCGAACAAAACCAACATTAATACAACCTGACATCTATATTGTGCGATTGTTTGTTTTAGTATTTGAAAGGAATGAGTCGACAAGATTACAGTCAACAGAGAGTCTTTTGTCTCATCGTCATTGCTGTACAGCTGCCAAGCAGGTTTTGAGTTTTCAATAAGCTCTGCACCGAAGGTTTTCTCCTGTCCATACAATGCAGGCGTTTAGACCGTGAACAGTCGTGAGTTAAAGCATGCACGTTGATTTAAATCCCGGTGAGAAGATGAGATAGTCCGAGTAATAAAGCCATGAGTTTGAACAACAGTTTATTATGCTGTGACGAGGTTTTACAATCCTGTGAAGTTATCAAGGCAGCAATTATTGTACCTTATAACACAATCACATGACTCAATATAGCGTTCACAGCTCCAACTTATCTACCAAAGGTTGAGCCACCTGCAACTTTTTTTGTCAGATAAGCTTTTATTTTATTTATTGTTCGATGAGATGATTAACCTCACAAGTTCACATCCAGAGGCTTATTTATCGTCAAGACGATATCTGCAGGACTTCAGGATTGGTTCAGACCGATCATTAAATGAATGTAATTTCTGTTTGCAACCGGACTTGCTTTTAACTAGTCTGAGTTTACAAATGTGTCTGTTGATGTATTAGTGTCAGAGCAAGCAACACAGAGAGAGAGAGAGAGAGAGAGAGGGGGGAAGGAGCCAGGAGTGAATCGGTGCACTGTGTTTGACTATGGAACAAGATTTTACCAATCTGAAAAAGAAAATTGAGATCATTCTGTGTTGATCAGTGTTGATATTGTGACAGTGGCCACATACAAATCAGTGTAGAGTCGACACGTTGATTTGACATTTATCTGCATTCAGACCTAAACTTAGCGCTGACCACTTGTGTTCGGATCACTCAGGACAGATTTTAATGACAGGTCTGAACAGGGGTCTATGTGTGAACAGAGGGTGAATTGCCATCAGCACCAGCATTCGCCAGATTTATTAATAAGTGGGTCGATGCAGCAATTGATGGATGGACAGAGCAGAGAAAACATTTTGGGAAGCTTAGTGTGAACATACTCTTTACCCCAGCACAGATAGTGAGTGTTCATTTCTAACCCGCTGTGTTCGTGTCTGTGTCTGTGTGTGTGTGTGTGTGTGTGTGTGGTTCTAGCTGGCTCTGCAGTCGCGGCTGTGTGACAGGACTCGGATCGGAGAGTACCACCCCGGGGCTGTGCGCTACACACAAGCTGACCTGGTCGACCTCAGCGATGACGAGGATGACGATGACACCAACGTGCTCTTTTACTCCCCCGACATGACCCTGAAAGGCCGAGTGCCCTGAGAGAGAGCTGCATAGAGGGACAGAGAGCGAGTGAGAGAGGAGACAAAAGAGCTGGAAGGAAGGAGGGTCACAGCCAGAGAGAAACGCAGCAGATTAGAAACCGAGAGGAAGAAAAAAGAGGTAGGGAGGGTATGGAAGGGAAGATTGGGGGGACAGTCAGGCAGATAGAAGCCGGAGATGAGCTGTCAGGTTCCATTATTAATCCCCATCCTTTACTATTTAATATCCTAAAGACACACTCACACACACACACACACACACACAAAGACACACACTGTGCAGAGCAGCAGCTCCCTGCAATGCTATCAACCAAAAGGAGTGGCTCTAAAGATCCTCCGAATGTTAAAGATATCTGCTGCATCCCGAAGGTCTTAAACCGATTTCCCTCTCTGCGTCACCTTCTTGATTCCTGTATTCTGCTCCTGTGTTTTGGCTAACCACAAAAAATGAAGGGAGGAATAAAAAAACATAAAGGACGTCTGAAAGGCAATCATAACAAGGTGTTAGTTTAACATTCGCAGCAATTACCTTTTCACTTCTCTGCAGGAGATGAGGTGAAAGCGGGCCTTTTAAAAAGCACCCCGTGTGTCAGACATGAAAGCATCTACAGCTACACGTAGATTGATCCCAGCACTGAACTACTTCCCTGCCAATGAGCGAGGTGCAGTGGAAATACAGAAGGGTTTCAAAAAACGTAAACATTACCTGGTAGTACAAAAAGTCCCAGAACACCAGTGGTGGTTGTAAGGAGCCTCTCCCTCCTCAGACAATATTTGTTTTTCTCTTTGTATCTGACTTGTATGTTACTGTTGTTTGCAGCTTTCGTAAGTTTTTCTTTGAAAAGCTTGTTTTGTATTTTTTATGAAATCCTGAACTTCTAATGTAGTATTTATATAATAGGTCAATGTACTGTATATCTGTATATATTTGAGTATACACTCTATTTTTGTACGTGCCTTGGACTGGAATGTGAAGAAAAGACTTCTCTAGGTCCAAAAACCTGCTGCACTCACATGACAAGTCGAGGAAGAGCTTGATTCAATATGTAGCCTTAAGAACAAAGTACTGAAAGAAGAAACATTTTTCTAGTCAAATAAGAACCTACACACACACAAGCTGTTTTCAGACATGAATATTGGGTCTGGAAATGTTCCGGACATTCCGTTTCACAAATGAATCATGCAGCAGGAGATTGTCTGGACCAGAAATTCAACTGCGGAAAACTGTTTTTTTGTTTAGAGCCCATTGGGTCTTATCGACAGGTTCTTGAATCTCCTCTTCCCACAATTTGACATCTTCTATGTCTGTGGCTCCTCTTTTTCATCAGATATCCGTATTCTTTTTGTTTATTCCCCCTTCTCATCTGTCATGTTTTAGAAATGGCATCAACACACCCCCTCGCTCGTCGGATATTTTGCCGATATTTTCCTGCTTTGTTCTCGCTGACATTTTACTACAGGGGCTGGCAAGAAAACTCCCGGAAAATGTCCGGAGTTCAGTTCATGTCTGAAAGCAGCTGTAGACATTAGACATACAGTACATGCTTCTCATTAAATGTCCCCGTCAAAAACCGGTTGGAAAAGAAGACACGTGACACAACAACAGCCTGTGATGCTTTGTCGCCTCGTGGCTGCTGCCGTTGAGGGGACATAGCTGAGGTGTGAGTGGCAGGATAATAGTCACTTTATATTCAACCTATAGCCCCATGTGGTCCCCCCCCCCCCACGTGTAGGTGGTTTCATCACTGTCGGTGCACGCAGCTTGCTGTCAGCTGCCGCTCTGACGAGTTGAACTAATGAACCGACACTTGACCCTTTTTACCCTTGAGTTGTTGAACTTTTCTGCTGGGCGTCAATGACACCAGAGTGCAACTTTGGTTTGCAGTTCACAGAGGCCCACCGCACTCACATGTACTGTGCCCCTACCCCTCTTTTGGCACTGTTGCTCGTTTTACTTGACTGCGCACTCCATCAAATAAATGAGCAGGAGATACATTTCATAACAAAGCTCTGGCTGGGCGTGTTTATTTCATTTTCACATTGATGCAATCCCTCATTCCTTCATGCCTCTGCCCTGGCTCCTGTGGAAAAGTGTGTCCGTTTAAATGTGTGTGTGTGTGTGTGTGTGCCTGCACGTGCGTTAAGACATCCCTTAGACCGAGGGTGCCCAGATAATGGTTATTAATTATTGGTCGGACCCTGCTGCACCCCCTGCCGTCTCTCCAAATCTGGTTAACTGGATTTTGATTAATGAAATGTGCGCGCATGTCCTCCAGAAAACCAGGCTCTTTTCCTACACACACACACACACACACACACACACACACACACGGCTCTCACACAGACGTTTGAACGTTTGGAGCCCCTCACCCTCCTCCATATAAAGCGCCTGGAAAATAAGCGAATCTCCCTGTCACGCAAGAAGAATTATTATTCCCTCCTCATATCGTCGCATGCGCCGTAATTGGATACAATTTAACACCCGCGGCCCACGGGCATGTCGGCAGGCGCGCTGCCTACTATTAGCTGCTCACCTCGCCTTGCTTCGCCTCCCTATCATTTGTCAGATCTGTGTTTGTGTGCTGCTGCTGCTGCTGCTTCTGCTGGTGTGTGTGTGTGTGTGTGTGTGTGTGTGTGTGTGTGCGTGTGGATGTGTCTCTGTGTGTGTCTGTGCATGTGTGGCTCGAGAAACCGGAGCCATTGTTGGAGTCCGGCCATGACCTAGCTGTGACGCACAGAGGGAGAGGGAGAGGGGAGAGGAGGAGAGACGGAGAGAGGCGACAGCAGCAGCAGCCCAGACGCTGAAAAACAAGCCGGAGCTCTGTCACCGCGCAGCGAACAGCGAGCCGGGCCTGATGGCTGTGTCCCCTGCGCAGCTTCCACCTGAAGTCTGCGGTTTAATAGAGCCCCGGCAGCATTATGACGCAGGGATGTGGTGGAAGGTAMAAAAAAAAAAACACCTAAACTCATTTTGCAGTAAATATAATGCTGTGGAGGAGGTTAATGAGGAGATTACAGCCTTCATGAATGATGTCCTGAAAGTATTAATAAATGCGTCAAAGTTGTGCAGCCCCGTACATCAGATGATTTAATTATCTAGTTTTACTCCAGGCTGTTTGTATTGAACCAGGGGTTTATAGCCTTGCAATATATGATTAAAAAGAAAGTGTGGAATGTTCCAGTTTGTGCCAACAATCAGCTGCCCATTAAGTATTCAGAGAATCCCTGATATAGAGATGGCACATGAGCAAATGCAGATGTTAAAATACAAGATTAATGTCTTTATGATGTCACATAGATTTAAGATTCAGCCTTTTACCTGCAGTCGTTTGTCGTCAATAAATCCCATGAAAGACTAAAAATGCTTGAGCGCCAACTGGGAATTTAGATGCATTAATTGTTTTTAAAAATGTAGCCAGTATTACTCAGACAGGACTAAAGAGTGCATCTGGTGTCCTCTTGGTTGTTTATGGCACCAAATGCCAGGTTTCCTCCAAATAAACCAACCTGAGTTCATCATAGAGAAGGAACGTAGACCAGTGGACCGTGCATGGGATTTATTTCTGTTAAGAAAAACATCTTTGGACTTGCATTTGTCTGTTTATTCTAAGGAGGGTTTTTTTTGGCATTTTGCCTTTGCTTTAAAGGGGACGGCAGAGACTGACAGGAAACATGAGGTTAGATCAAGGGGAGGTAGACATGCAACAAAAGTCCCAAGTTGGTTTTGAATTGAGGTTATTGCCAAAAAGTGGTTTACATGTGTCACTTCTCTTTGGGGACTGTGCACAAGAGCATTTTCACAAGAAAAGAAATGGCTTAGACTAAATCAGTCAGACTAAATAACTAACCTTTCAGTGCTGATAACATTGATGAGGCCCTGGACCTTCAGGGGCCCTCAAAACCCCCAGATCAAATCTTTGTCACATAGGTTTTTGGTGGCCGTAAAGCCCCCACGTGTGTAAAATTCAGGTTTTAGGAAAACACTACGCTCTCAGTGGCATTTGCCCTGGGCCCCTTAACAGGTTAATCCCACCACTCAGTGAGCAGTTACACAACCGCTACAAAAAACAGATAAAAGTTAACTGCTGTGCAGGGGCAATCCAACAGCGTAGGCAAAGCAGGCAACTGCCTGGGGAGCTCAGAAGAGATGATGATGTTAATTCCTAAGCAACAACAGTTTTGGGGGAAACCCCTTAAAGTGTGATATCAGCTAGAGAAGACAATGCTTGGAAACGAGGCCCCATGCCTGTAACTTTTCGCCAAATGCTGCAGTCTACATATAGGTGAACGTCTACATATAGGTGTGTGATATTAACTACATATGCACTCGATGTTGGGCCCCCCCAGGTCCCTTTGGCCTTTGGCCCCCCAAAGTCCTTTGAAACGCTCCTGCTGCAATGTTCTGTAACTTGGTAGCTCTTGTGACCAGTGTCCAAACAGACACAGTAACTCTGTAAACGTCATTAAAATATAAAAATGCAGGAGTCACATGACTTAAAATCCATATTTTCACAATGTTAAAATGGTTTATTCTATAATGAAGAGGCTGTCCATGCAATAACAAGGCATGCTGTTGCCCCTCACACTCTTCTTGACTGATCGTCACCAAACAAATAACGAAATTCAACATTCTAACGCTCAACGTGCCTCTAGGTTTATCATTGGTGCTCATTCTGTTGTTGTTTAAAGTGGTGTCAGTTGATGCGGTGTAATTGTTTTCAAGGCCATTTTCTTTGGAATCAACATTTCAGCAGTTTATGCAAATGAGACATAAATTAGTCAGATGTATTTTTCATTGTGTGTCCTAAAGCTTGGAAAACAGAAATCTAATATGAGGCCGATCTGACCATTTACATTGTAGGGACGTTTGGGACTAGATGCCACTCTGGATCATTTTCTTTAAATATTAATATTATCGTTTTGTTAGACAGACTCAACCATTTCCCTGTATTCAGTTCTCTAGCCAGAAGAAACACTCATGATAAATTCCCCCTGTGAATCCCCCTCCACCTCACAAATGTTTGACATCAACAACCACATTCTCTGAACGTATAAAAGTAAAACACGGTTCCACATAATGTTTGCTGATGTCCTCTCCCTATATAATTTACTATTAGCAATTATCTGCAGTTTAAATGAATTTGAAGAATAATAGAGGAATTAATTGTGTTATGCCAGGAAACAGTCAAATCATTCAAATTCAAGGTGACATATTCGTGACATATATATATATGTGATATTGTTTGATTTGACCCACAAATCTAAATATTTAACTATGATTTAAGATAAACGAGCACCTCCTCACATTTAACATTTAAGAATCGCATCGATCTTTCTATCAAATAATCAATTAGGCCTAATTGTTCCATCTGTTGTCTAAATATTTAGTCGAAGCCTCCGCTGCGCTGCCATCCTGGCTCCGAACAAGCTGCGTATTAGTTTCCAGCCAAGTTCTGAAATAATCAGCCTCAAAAACACCAGAATCAGCATCGAAAACCATCGTGAGCAATTTATGTGTCATCGCAGAAAAAAAACAGCCCACGTTCTAACAGATATCACCGAGGACGCGACCTCAGCAAATGTGACCCTGCGCACGTTTACATATCTCGTGTTTAACGTCCACATTTCCCCGCATCCTGTCGAACATCAGCTCGGCTGCAGCAGCGCTGCTGCCGGAGCTGTTATCGGAGCGCAGGAGCGAGCGGAGCTCCGCGAGCGCCGAGAGCTGCGGTCGAGCTCCGAAAGGGTTAAATTAATCTCTCGCTCGCTCTCTCTCTCTC